TTTCAGAAGTTCACCTCCAGGACTTCACCTGAAAGAAACACCGCCCGAACCGCCAGGAGATTGTCTTGAAGTTCCGCCGCCCCGAGGAGCGCAAGGTGGTGCTCGAAAAACCCGGCCGCTCGGCGTCGGCACGTTCCTTCGGGAGGTTCTTCGCAAGTCGAACAGGAGACCTTGGGAGCAGAGGATCGCAGTCCTCAGTTTTTTTGGGGACATGGATGGCCCACATGGCTTCACAGATATCCCAAATGGTCCGATAGCGATTGTGCTGGAGCGTTCGTTTTTGTTGTTGAGACTATTTGGGTGCCCGGACACTGCTCACAAAACCTCCCATGTGCCTGGGAGGAACACCTATAGTTGATGATCTCTCCCTCACAATCGGCCGGCACCCGAGAATCCCTGGCCCTAGCCAAACAGAAGAGAGGAAAAATCAAAGAGATTCAAAGACTTAGAGCCTTAGACTTAGAAAGCAGCTGTTGGAGGCTTTCCCTTGGCAAACTTCCTCCAAGCAACTTTTGTTACATACCAAGTGCCTTCAAAATGTGCGATGATCATGATTGCATATATGAGTGCATTGTTTGATACAATACAATCGGTTGCATTATGTTGCATTCGTACGCTGGCATGCGATAGGGCACTCACAAATAAACAATGCCTTTTAACTGTAACAAGGTGCCATTACAATGGGAAACGATAGCGGGCTCACAAATATGACAATGCAATAGCTGCACATTACCAAAGCTTTGACTGTACCTCATATGTTTCTTCGGAACTTTGTGGCCGCGGTTCTGGTTCTTCAGCAGGTGCCGGTTAAAGTCAATGAGACGAAGCGAGAGGTTGATGAACATGATAGAACATCACATAGCCGTGGCCTTCGCAAAAAAACGAACAGCGACTTTGGGGAGTGCTTTGGTCAACTCTTCTAATCATTGGGTTGGCAGTTTCCATGAGGCTGGAAGTGAGCCGCATCAGACACCTGCAGCTGAGCCCTAGCAAATCAGGGAGCATATAGCCATACTTAGCCCTTGATATCCCCCGACTATAGAATAGATACTATATATATATTATTTATATAGGGATCAAGCAGATGAATTCCCATTGGCAGTTGCGCTCGCCGACCCGCGAAGACCTCAGGCCGACTTGGCATCGATGTCAACTATCGCAAGACCTCAGTGAAGCCATGGATTGCCACCCGGCGAAGACGTGGTTTCAGAGGCTCGATGGCACTGGCACCCCAAGAGGTCTTAGACAGATGGGGGTCCATACAAACCACTTACTTGTAACTTGGGGGCCCTTGTGCCATCTACTCTGAAACCACTATAATCCACTGTATGTTATTCGTGTGTTTTTTAAGAGTTTGGCAGGGAGTACTGGCAAGGCATCTTATTCTTTGTTTGGCAAGGCAACATAACAAGGTGTTTTGGTCATGGTGGGGGAAGATGGTGGGTGTGTCATTGCATGGGGCCCAGAGAAAAAAGTCCTTGAACAATGGGGTGCAGTGCGGGAGGAGACACATTCAATATATTTCAATATACGATCACCCACATGAATGAATCTCGCGTCCCCAAATGGATATGGAACATCACATATATATATATATAATATCATTCATTGTTATAGTTTTGTGTCATATAGACTCTGCTTGCAAGAATTTGCTTCCTCGAACCTTTCCACCATGAGGGCTGCACACTTGCCCCTTCTCACCACGTTCAAGGCCAGCATCAGCCCCGGCCTGGTTGCAGATTGGAACAAGGAGCCATCAATGAATTTGCGGAGGCAAAAGGAAGAGGTGACGTGATTCTACTTTTACATGCGCACTAGTTTAGGCTTTATTTATTTATGAGGTCTTGCTGTTAGACCATGCTTTGGGAGATGGGACATGCATGAACATGCCATTTCACCTCAGCCATTTGACAGGAAAACCCCGACATTGCGGCTTTGCCACACGACCGCTCCTTGGTCCAAAGGATGTTTTCGCCTGTTGATGTGGGCGGCAAAAGCACTATAGCGAGATCCGAGCGTTCCAAAGCTCACAAAGTGTTGTTGCAGACAGAATCGATCCACCAACACTTTCATAGCACATGTCACATGTTTGTAGACCTCTCCATGGTTCCATGGCCAGTTCGTTCTTTTCGCTCGTGTCACCCTGGCGTTCTGCCCTGGAAACGCCTACGCGCGACCCGGTTCTGCGTGTACCCCGAGTCCGGACCGGGCTGCGCTGTTCCGCTCGGTCCAGGCATCACGGCAGTGAACGAGGTGGCTGGAAACATCGACACGCCACCTGGTTGCCGAAGCGGTCCAACGGAATCGAACCGGGCTTCGTGTTGATACCGGTGGAGACCGGTGGAACCGAGCAAGTGACTGGTCAGTTGGAGGAAGATGGGATGCCAAGTGGGTCTGGAGTTTAGATGAGTTTAGGGCCTCAGCAGAAGCCACGACTTTGACTCAGTGTATAGTTATACTTCGTGGTTGGTCCAGTTGAGGGAGCATGTCCACGTGCTTGTTTCTTATGACTTATCACAGAGAAGTTCATGACGTTCCCTGTCAAGCCTAAGATCCCAATCAACAAGTTGTTTTGCGTGCTTGTCTTGGATAATTTGGAGGCCTTCCAGAGACTTAAGGAGTAGCGAGTACTGCCAGGCTCGAATCACACCCCAGTTCAACTCGACACATTACACATCATTACACGATGTCTTCAAATAGAAGCCCACTTTCCATCACATGTGGTGGAGCGGTTCAGTGTCAGCATGGACACTGGACTGCAAGACTATAACCAGCTGCCTGGCTGGGGAGGGTTGCCAGTATGTCCTTACTTGTGGTATCTTGTGGTGGGCTTTTGACATCACCCAGCTGGTGTGTGAGAATGTTGCTTTTTTGCAGGGACATCACAAGGCGTGCGGTTTATGATGCCCTTCACAGCCTGACGCCATGCCAGATGAAACATGAACAGCCTACGAGGCGACGAAACCGTCGCCTCCGTCGCCCCGAGCACCGAGAGACGCCCAGGATCCTTGAGAAGCTCCGAAGCCCTGACAAGACTCTCTGGCTGCACGTGGCGCATGAAGCTCGTGAAACTCGTTTTCCCCCACACCGTTGCGCAGGTGGCCGCCAATTGGTTCGCTGGTGGTTTTGCAACCTTGAGAAGCCTCGGAGGTTCCTGATGATCAACATATGTTTGTAATAACTCCAACTTGCCTCTTCCCGAGCTAGGGCGCTAGGGAACTTCCTTCTCAGAATTCACTGAGCTAGTGTTTTGGGTCGTATATACATCTATATGATGCATCCTGCTTGTCAGCATGCTTCACAGCTGAATTCACGCTACGGGTGCAGTTCCCAGGGATTAAAAAGCAACACGGCCTCATCAACCCACTCAAAGAAAAAAAATTGTATCGAAGAATGACACCGGTAAATATCCATAAATAAGTACTGGGGTTTAGTCTAAATGGGGTGAACCGTCGTCAAAGTTTCGTGATGTTCTACACGGACATGTTCGGACACGTTGCACGCACCCCCTCGCTCAGGCGTTTGGTTCTCACCGTGATGCACTACGAAGCCTACTGATCCGCTGGCGACGCCCATCGCGATGCCCATCCCTCTTCCAACCTGTCGGGGTGGTCCGCGGGAAAGCCTCGGGGCTGCACTGGCCGAGGGAGGCTGACTGCTGTGCAGAACCGGAACACACTGTAGACAGCATAGACCCTGTTACAGTCTTTTATGAAAGGGGGTGTCTTAAAACATTATTCCAGGGGTCATCTGACCTACTGGAATAAATTTTGTTGGAATAGTATTTCTGGAATAATATTTTAGCTAGGTAGTGGTTCAAGGTACTACCTATAAATTTGGAATAATTGTTGGAATAATATTCCAAGATGTACACACATGTAGGCGTATTGTCTCTCCAAGGGTATTTGGGGTTTCACACCAAATGATGATTTGAGCGGTGTTGCGACAGGGATGAAAAACAGTTGAGTGCAAAGCACAACTCTTGCCTATAACATGGTTTTGCATCCAGATGTTCAGAAATTATTCCTGAATGTGAATGACATACCAGAATAGTTTCATCAATGTGACTAGGGGTCAGAATATATAATTTATAAATTATTCCAGGGGGGCCTTGAGAGGGGGTCCCCTTAAGCCACGGCCCATTTTTTATGTAATATTATATAACTGAGGTACATGTTTGGTGCCAGGACACGGTGAACCGCCAACTCGAGGCATCTTGAGGCTCTGTCCATATATCCTATTATATATACTATTATATATTCAACATTGTGTGCGATGGGTGCAGGTCCCAAGCAACGGCAAGCAAGCCATGGGCAGGTGTTTTCAATTTCTTTAAGACCATTTTTGTTTAATTGTAAAGGTCCAAAGACTCAGATTGTATTGCGGTTGAACCACCATGAACCGCCCAGCAATTCGTTTGCAGTCATTGTCCTCAGCTCGGCTAGCCCGCTGAACTGAAACACACTGGTGAGCCGGTCACGGCCCTGAAATCAGGTGACTGTGTCGTGGAATGCTGTTTTCTGATTTCTGAAACTTACTGCTTTGGATAGGCTGGGTGAGATGTACCTAAAAAGGTACCAAAACAAAGATTGTCAGTCCTCATATCTCAAAGAATCTGGACACAGAAACTTCGGCCGCCAAAAATCGGGTCCAGTCAATACCAATTTGTTGGCGACCCGACTCTCCTGTCAGCCCATCCGATGACGCACCGGGGACTTCCGACACAAAACGGCGCGCTCGCGACGTCCAATGTTGGGGTGCCAGGCGAGTTTTTGGCCATCCAAGACAGCGAGGGTCATAGAGTTTGGATGTTTTTGTTTGCTTCCGATACTGGTGACCAGACAGATGCGGCATGGTATGACTGAGTCGAGAGGTGACTTGAGATGTTTTCAACATGTAGAAGAGGCATCCTTGTGATACCAAAGGATCTTAGCTGAAGGAGTTGAAGCTGCTGCCCAGCTGTGCTCATGTGACTCATGTGTGTGTGTTGCGGGTTCGCGGGCTCAGAGTAGTAGCGGGGCTCATGAAAATGGCTCCAGCCATTTCGTTTCACCTTGGCACGATCATTCTTTGAGTTCTCGGGGCGCCAGGCGCCCCGCCCGGCGCCCCGAAGTCCATGACTGCAGATGTCGCCAAGTGACTTGGAAGCAGCTGCCAGCGTGATGCTTTGGCTGGCCCAGGCCACTATGTTGTATGCAGTAAGGCACGATGACGACTACAGTTGACATAAAAACTGGAGAATAATAAGTTGTTCTTTTTTCTTGTGTTCAGGACATGGTGTTTAAAAAAATCCTTTGTATCATCCGGAGCCGTACCGATGCTCAAAACACCTCGAAACACTGCTGAGTTGTTATCCCTAGGGCTCCAAGTACCTCCTCAGAAGGTATTTGGACCCTCTAAACCCACCCAAACAACTTCTTAGAAGGTACTTGGAGCCCTAGGGTATGTTGGTGCGGGGCCTTTTCTATTTTGTCCCCTCCGTGGTGTCGTAGCGAGTGGACTGGACTCCGTCAGGAACGTCGTAGAAAGATGTTCCAACGCTTCAGCGGGTCTCGCGGACCCGCGCGGTCGCCGGTCGTTTGCGGGTCGTTGTATATGGGTGTGTACATTTGAATAGGGAAACCCCTCAAAGACCTTCCTGGGAAAGTCACCTGACGAAATTCAGTTGGGATATCCCGTTAACATATCCCATTTTGTGCTGCAGGTTATGTGCCAGCTTGGACAAGATCTTTAAGACCTTCTCCACCCAGGAGGTGCAGTTGGACCCCAAGGAGCGCAGACGAAAGACTCGCGCCATTGGCCCGTATCCAACCAACAGTGGTCCGTCCTCTGATCTGGTACGTCGAACAGGAAAAAAGGCGATTTGGCAGTTCGCCGAACGGGGGTCGTGCAGAACGGCTAACTGGCTCAATGAGACTGATCAAGGACCAGAGCACATGAGCGAGTTGAAAGACCAGAGCAAGTGAGTTGAAACCACCAACCAGCCAGATGAGAACTTGCTACTGGAGCTTGCTCCGAGGAGATGAAGAACTTTCGGGAGCGTGGCACCATGCAATACATCGAGCAGAAATTCCAGGCAGCTGGCTTCCATTTGCCGTGGTGGGGTGGTTCTTCCAAAATGTGGGGGAAAGCTGGAAAGGGCTCCAAGATGATGAAAGACGGTTGTCTTTGCTAACATGTTTAGTTTCTAACTAGTTTGGCTCGCGAGACAAGATCAGAGTCTGTTTCTGAAGGTCTGGACAGCTGAAACAAGGATGTCAACCAAAATGATAGCTGCATGGGCACCTACAGAGGTGCGAACTAGGTGACCTTTGATAGGAGAATTGGTCACTCTCCGAGCATTCAATTTTGATGACATTAAATTTGCAAAACAGACATGGGAAATCGGAAATCAGCCTGAAATCATTTTTTCACATACTGCCCATGTCTTACTTATGTCAGTTTGGACCTTAACACCTACAGTACCTACAGTATGTGATCGCAACCCAGTACATATACACTCGCGAAATTATCATGGAAGTGGACAAGTGCCCCTTGGATGACCGTTTTTCCTCTACGAACAGGATACCCGGTGAATGGTTCTCTATAATATGGGGGCCATTGGTATCTATAAAATGCAATTTCAGGCACCCATTCTATGGTGAGGGGGACAAAAGAGGCTAAAGCCGAACATTGCATTTCATATTGTATTCTTTTGAAGTAGGTCATCCTGGCTCATAGAAAGTAAGACATGTGGAATTCCATTTTATAGAGAAACTGATTTGGAGCAGCTTCAACATGTTGAAGTGAATTCGCATTTGGTTTGAAACACCTTCTTGGAACTCCACAGGGCCACAGGGGGCCCTGTCTCTCTCCGTTGTGCTGCACATGGCCTCCCAAAGTGACGGTTGGTGTGCCCCGGTTCCGCCAGATACAGAGCAAACCACAAAGTGTAGGAAAAAACAATCACCAACAACAAATACAGTACACATTCAGGTTGATACATCACAGAGCGGCTGGTCTGGTATGGTTCGGTCATTTCATAGAGCCGCTTGCCAGATCTTTTTCTATTGCTTAAGGCTGGTTACCTCATTTTATAGATTCTACCTGGTAAATGGAGATCCGAGGCTGAACAGCCATTCTACAGATAGGTTTTCTTTGCAACATGCTTTGCAACATGCTTTGCAATTGGTCCAGTGGTTTATTCATCGAGTATCAATCAGGTGGTTTTACATGGTTTTCCACTTCCATGATTGTTCTTGGAGGTGTAAGTTGCTTAGTACATTCGTGGCGCAGATCCAGCATTGCAGGCCCACTTGCAACGTGCACGAGCGGCATTCTTGCAAGAGTTCCGGAACCATGCAGTGGTTGTTGAGACCGAGGCCTTTACTGCGCTGATCGTGAAGTGTTGGTGAATCGAAAGAGGCTTTGTAACTGACTTAACTTTGCACCCATGTTCTTCTGTCAGGCTGGAATATAGGTGGTGCAGGCTTAGTTAAGCACAGGTTGGACCCATCAAAATCGATCTGCACTGGGTTGCCGGCACATGTTCAAGCAATTGTTCAAGCAAGCAAGCGGAAGATTAGGTGCCACATGCCACATGTCGTACTGTGATTGTCCAGTCATTTCGATCAGCCCCTTGGCGCCCTTGGCCACACGTGCCACACTCCGTGTCAAAGAGGCGACGTGACCAATCAATGGGTGCGTTACGTGCGTAATACATGCGTAAGAACGTGCGTTGCCCACACAGACCCACATGTGGAGAAGTCCTTTTTCAGGCGAGTGTGTCCACACAGCCATGCTTGGGAATCATGTTTCCACAGGCCCTGAAAAAGCAGGGCCCAAGGTAGTGAAACGCACCAGAGCATCATCATCGAATATCCTTGGAAAACCAAGCGCTATCAAAACCAAGCGTGGAATTCCGCGAAGCGGTCGCACACGACCGGAGTCGAAAAGTGACTTGTTTTGGGCTCCCGGTTTTCCGAAGGTGCGGAAGATCCGAGAAGAAATGACCGAAAAGATGGAGGAGAGTTTGGATGAATGTCGATTTGGATTAAACCCGTGGGACTGTGAACTGAGTGGAATTGGGCCAGCTTGGGCCCACATGAAGGGGCTGGACCTGTGAACTTTTTGATGGATTAGTTCCAAGATCCCCAGCGACTGACTCAGTGTTGGCGATCGATTCGAGCTGTCCACGCGGCCCGTCGTAAGTGTACCGTTGCTCTGGGTGTCACAACTACTACTGTACCTACAGGTAGAGGGAGACTGCCTCATTCCTCTAAGGATTTTTTTAAAGGATTCTTTTTAACACATGCTTGTGTTAAAGTTAGCGTATATATCAGATCCCATATACAATAATACGATAGCCCTGCGAAGCTCTACTGTACCCGGCAGATCAACAGGCCCCCGTTTGAGGGTCTTTGAGGAAGCAAGACGAAACTCTACAGCACTTGGTCAGGGTCATTGGACCAAGGAGAAGATTTTGCAGGAACTTGGCGATTCCACATGAACTTTGGGGTAGGCGATTGATTCTGACCTGGATGGGGAGATGAATGCACTTCACTGAACTTTTGACTGGTGTTTCTGGTCTACAATTGCTTCATGAGGCTCAGAGGCAGCTGGGAAGGCTGAAGGCACATACAGTACATTTTTTGTGGGGCACCTTAAGATTAGTGTTTTTAGTTTGGATTGTCTACAGTCTACAGATGTCTACAGTTTAAATCGAAATACCTTTAGTCATTCATAAATAGATGTTTCTCAGCTGATTTGCTTTGTAGCTAGGCATGTTGATTCAAGCTACTCCACAGGACAAGTATGGCAAGATGCTGGGTGAATTGCGTGAATCTGTGGTGGGCACTGAGGCATGGGGAGAGTGTGACTGGCCAGTGGGCGACGTGTTCGTCCGATTTCATTCCATACGATGCAATAAGACTCGCAGATGCCCTTAGTTACTAGTATAGCTTCATAGCTAGCCGTGCTTAATGCTGGCTGTGGAGTGTGTTTCGTCGCTGGCGGACGAACGTGCAGCCTGACGCAGCACCGTCGTTTCAGCGGCGCGTTTTGTGCTACGCTGCGCTTGCGCTCTTCTCAGGGCCTGGTGCAAGCGCAAAGGGCCGAGATTTCTCAACTGAAAGGTGGGAAGGACGAAGGAAGGGAAGGACAACACGATGCGACATGCGACAATCCAGAGTGATTGGATTTTTTTGGACTAGAGATGACTAGAGATGACTTCATTGTGTTTTTCTCGCTCATCGAACGCAGTGCAGTTGGGCGAAGCGCATGCCGGACATTGCGATGTGCATAGTAACGTATCATGTACAATCTTAATCTTCGTTTTGGCTGGTACATGTGTGCGCATTAAAGAAGTGTATGTACGGGAATTTGCACTGTATCTCAGGGGCTTGTCACGAAAGATGTCCATAGGCTGGACCTTTGTGGGTTCATGGTTTCCGTTGAGTTTCGCAGGTGTGGTGGCCGCGCAGGAAACCTACATGACGGCTGCCAAGCATAAGGCTGGTTCGTTGGGTCACAGGACCTTTATGTGAAGATCAAATTGATATTGCTTCCTCCAAGAGGCAAACGGAAGGGGTAATACACAGAAAGGGTTTTGCACAAGCTTATTCTACTGACTTCGTAGAAGGCCCGGGACATTCGTGGAACCTGGGCTATTCGTGGACGTTTCATGGACTGGTGGGCCAGTAGGAGAACTAGCCGTAAACGCAGAACTTTGTGGACTTTAAGTTGTATAAACAATTTTTGCTGACCCCCTCTCTACCCCCCCCACACACACACACACTTAGAATCACTTACTGTATATAGGTATAAGATGGTATAAGGCTCGCAAGAGCAAGAATACGTTGTGAATGTCCAGTGAAGCCACCACTTTAAGGCTAGTTACTGCATTTAGCGCTCGAAATGGCCCTGTGAGGAACAGAAAGGTGAAGAGTCCGCAACAATATGGTTTATTTACATCACAAAAAATAAATGGCAGGTACGTCACTGGACGTCTCCAGTGATATCCTCAGGACACTGCAGGCCTGCTCCATTCCCCTGCGTAGACTGTACATTAAAAGTGTGTGGATAACGTAGGGACAGGGTTTGACACACACACACACACATGAAGCAGTAACGGCGCTCCCTTGACTAAGAAACCTAAAAATATACCTAAAAAGCCTGAGAGGCAGACCTAACAAAGGAAGAGAAAAATGCAGGAAAGGAGGTGAGGTGGGGTGGCGGGGGAGAATCGACTAAACGAGCCTGAAGGGCCACCTAACAAGCCTCGTCAAAACTGCTCAAAGCGACACGGTTGGAGGTCAGCTCTAGTACGTTAGAGGCCATTGCCCCAAGGTTGGAGGCCAACGCTAGTAGGTTGGTGGTATGCATAAGGACCATAAGGACTCTAAAACTGCGCCAAGCATCAAGGTTGGAGGTCACCGCTAGTAAGTTGGAGGCCATGGCACCAGGTTCGAGGCCAGCACTGCCAGTTTACAAGACACAAACTCAAAACAGATCTTGATTGACGAGTAGGTTTGAGGCAGGGTTAGTTCCACACATTGAGCGAGACAAATGAATCGCTCTAAGTAAGTATATAAGATGATTAAACATAAATAAACCCTCCTGCTGGCCAAGCTGGATATCCCATTTCACCGGTAGCTTCATTGGACACAATCCCAGTCAAATGCTGTGTCCCCCTGCCACCTTAACGACCGCAAGGCCAGGGTTCCACACGCACACACACCCTCCATGTCGCCTTCATCCTCGCCCTGTTGAAGTCCACTCGAACCGCTTTCCTCCAAATAGCTGGGTGACCCCGCCAAAAGATAAGAAACAGACACACAACTTGTTCAGTTGGTTGAGTCCTGAGGGTGCACACCTGTCGCAGCCATAAAGCGCGGCCTTTTCCAGCGTCAACGAAGTGACCACATGGCTCCCCGCCCTGCGTCACCACCCTGATTGAGTCAGGCCAGAGGTCCAACTTGTCATGCGTTGAATGTATGTTGATATGTATGTATGTAGTTGTATTTAAATATGCACATCTATGCAATAAGCTTATATAGAAATGCTATGTGTATTTAACTAGGCTCAGAGCAAGTCATTATTTATGTTGAACTTTGAACTGCGTTGTGGCAGCAAACACGGATGGTGACAGCTGTGGATATGTCAGAGAGAGCAAAGTAGACACATGGCCCATGTAGACCCAAATGACGGCACTTGGGAACAAAAAACATCCTGACCCTGCCAAAGAAGTGCAAATTGAGTGTTAAGTATTTAGACGAACTTCCTCACTCAAGAGCGCGCACGGGAGCAATATCATATGAGAGCACAGGTTCGACAGAGCACCCACGTAAAAACACCACTAAACCACACACACACACGAGTTCATATGAGCGCAAAGCGCTGCGCCTGCCACAAAATTAGCATGTCAAGATTCACATTGCACAGCCCTGTCAAAACGAAGCTGTCATGTGAGTTGCCCTTTTCAACATTGCTAATTCACTGCACTTGTCACGAAAAACAGGGCACGCCAAAGACCACCACCAAGTCCAAAGTATTGCGCCTGAACCAAAATCTTTGCATCAAAGTCAAGCGACTCGGATCTCCTGCAACTGCCGCAAGAAGTCGGCTTCTCTCAAGGTGGTAAGTTTATGTGAGCCTGCGCAGTCGAAATGGTTTTGATGATCCCGAAAGGCATGAATGTGCTGTAGCTGGGTGTGAGCACCCACCCCTAGTGTGAAAAATAGGGGTTTTGAAGGGGTGTGGTAGTCAGATGTTCAGTGCTATAGTAGATGATACCCATTAGTGTTGTGAGTTTGGAAGTCAGCCAAAAAAATTATTTATGGCTTATTTATTTTTATGCTTTTGTTATGGTTTTCTTATGAAACTGAATATGCCAAAAAATATGCTTTGTTTGTAGTTGCTTTTTGCGTAAAATCAGGAAGCTAGTGGTGACAGAACAACAACACACGGAGTACACAATCTAAGACCCAGACCAAATATGAGCAACCCTGCAGAGAACACAGGGCAACAGCAGTCACTGGCTAAACAACTCTCAAACCTCAACCTTAAAAGGCAGCTGGTAGCCCAAGCCCTAGACGTTTGGGCACTGGACACACGGGAACGGACGAAGACCAAGTGGAGCCCAGACCGCCTAGTGACCACTTCTGCGGCCATAAAAAAACCATAAGATTTGGCATAAGTTTTTCATAAGATTTCCATAAGGTTTTCATAAGATTTTCATAAAAATAAATAAAGTCGCCGATTCTTATGGATTTTTTATGGATTCGATATGGAATTGATATGGATTTGTTATGATTTTGTTATGGCTGTTTTTATGGCTTTGATACTTGGTTGGAGGACAGTTATGGTTTCGTTATGGTTGGAAACTGGACGTGGTATGGCCCAGGGCTTGGAGTGGAAAAGGTCAGGGCGGCTTGCAAGGGCCACCGTGTCCCGACCCTTGATTCCTTGCGTTGTAAATTTTGTTGCTTGACCCAGAAACTAAATCTTTCCATCAGACGTGAAATAGCTGATTGGGCTGCTGACCACAATCCAAGAAGCTCCCAAACCTCCTACCTAGCCATACGAACAATATATCGCAAGTGTATGTTTGGCAATTCAGCCAAAAAAATCATAAATTTGATCATAACTGTTTTCATAAGTTTTTCAAAACAAATCCATAACAAAATCGTAAAAATAAATATTTTTTAACACAATTTTTTTAGCTACTTCCTAACTCACAACATTAGTGGGAAGACCTGCTTGGAAAGATCTCCACCGTGGTCAGGATCATATGGAGGAGTTGGCACAATCCTTGGACCAGCAGCTTGAGAATGCTCGAGGTGGGTCCTTTGGACGGGCTGGGAGCAAACTCAAACTCTGCGGCTCAGGCAAGCGGTTGAATATTGGCCATGATTGGCCATGCCTCATCCTCATCCAGTAGGTTTTTGGTTCGGTTGGGATCGGTTCCACTCGGTTCGGGTGTATAAGTTATTGTTCGTTGATGTTCCGTTCGGTTTACGGTCCGTTTCGGTTCTGTAAGGCATAAGATTCATAAGATACACAGTGAGGTAAAGAAAAGACAGGATCAAACAGACAAGACATGACATGACATAGCAAAGCAAAGAAAACCAAAGCAAGGCAAGGCAAAGGAAAGGAAAGAGAAGGAACACTGTTTGTTAATATGCTTGCTCCAGGCTGTCTAAAAAGCACATTGGGCAGGAAAGCAAAGAAAAGGAGTGGAAAGGAACACCATTTCCAAATATGCTTACAGATGATGGTTCGGCTCACTCACCACAATGGTTCGTGCCATGCCATTACTGGCGCTTGTGACTGAAGATATTCTCTTCAGCGAGAGATGCAAGGCAAAGAAAAGGACAGGAAAGGAAAACTGTTTGTGAATACTGTATGTTTCTTTTCCCGGGCTGTCTTAAACAAAAACAGCATATTGGCTAGGAAAGCAACGAAAAGACATGGAAAGGAAACAATATTTACATATGCTTTTGTACTGCTTACACATTATGGTTTGGCTCACTCACCAAAACGGCTCATGCCATGCCATTGCTGGGGCATTTGGTTGAATTCAAGGCTGTCATGCAAGAGCTTCTCTGAAACTCCAAGACACTGGACAATCTGAGAGCAACGTCACAGAGCGCTTTGCTGATTGACCTCGGAACAGGGCGGTGCGTTCGTTTTTCTTTTCAGTTCGGTTGTGTTTGGAAGGTTGACGGTTGTTGACATTCGGTTCATGAACCTTTCGGTTCTTGACGCTCGCTAAGTTTCGGTTCCTGAGTCATGACCGCTGCGGGTCATATGGTCTAACAGTGACACCATGTGACACCATCAACATATTTCTAGCATGCAGCCACACTTGGCACTGGCGTGTAGCGGAAACACTTTTCCAATAGCCCATGCCATGGACCCCACGCTCGTGAAAAAAGTGCCTGATGTATCCCGATTCAATGCGCTTGTTAAAGTGGTGGAATCCAAGAAATCCACGCCAATGCGGCCCGCGCTATGTATGGTATGACCATGAGTGTTCAAAGACTGGACCTTTTGAGCCACCCTAGCCAACAACGCAATTTTTTCCCCATTCCACCGCAAATGCAGAAGTTGGTGGGCATTGAAAATGGCAACAGTTGCAACCCCTGTGACAGGCACTTATCATTGTGGATCTATTATATATAATATAATATATATATACTATTTTTAAATGGCGAACAAAAGCCGGCGTGTTGGATCTTGCAGTTTTGTCAAGACGAAACCAACGGGATTTTCTATAGCTGTTCCCTTCACCTGGCACCATGCCGCAGGCGAAGTGACTGACCTGAAGCAGCAGCTGCAAGGCAAACGGCAGCGTCGACGGTGGGGAGACACCGTCAACGCCCTATCCACATCGTTTGCATCATTGGGAGGTTCTTTTCTTAGTTAGCAAAGAGGTCAGATTCATTCAAACTAGATCAAATTGGCTAATATGTTTATTCATGCCTTTTAAACTACTTGCACTGGGAAATAACAAAACTGAACATCTATGGACCGCTGTTTTCAGATGATTTGCATCGAACCACTGGCAGCTGGCAGTCCAAGTTTGCAAAACATGGAAAGATGACTTCCTTGTGATGCAGAATCACTCCATCAATCCTTGCACCATGGGTAGACTGAACACCTGGACCATGCTGGACTCCTTCTCATTGCTCCAGCAGAGAAGCAGCGATTCCCACTAATTACAGGTTTGGGGCGTGTGCATATAAACCTCCTTTCCCCGCTTTCAGGCCGCGACGAGCAGTTGCGGCAGCTGCGGAGTGAACGCATTTCCTTGGAAGTGGAGTTCGTCCGGTACAAACAGAGCAGTGAGGAGGTGCAACGGGAGGAACTCCTTTTGAAACGATATGCTCATGGATTGCGAGAGTGCGGGTAGTTATATATGGACATGGATGTCGACAAGGGTAATTAAGCATGGGAGAAATATGAGAACTGGCTGCGGCAGAGTTAAATGGACCTGAGCTTAGGCTGCGGCGTAATCACGCTTGCACATTGGTCTAACAAAGGAACGACCATGAGATGTGAACGACCATGATGGACCACATGACAGGAGAAGAGAGAAGCTGAAGACCGGTTTCAAACCCTTCACAAAGCTATGCAAGAGCAGCAGCGTCTTGGTTGCAAGCGGGTCCTGAGGTAAGGCATAGATGGCTTAGAATCTCAGACCTTTGCTTCCGGCGTTGTACATGGGCCAAGCCTTCAGCCGGCAGGGACGACGACGCACATGTTTTTGTTCTCACTCGGGGACGACGACGTGACTCCGTCAGAGTGCTGGTGCTTTTTGTGACGGCAACCCGTCAGAGTATCCGAGTATCCTTGTGGGACTGCCGTGTGACAGCACTCTGTCCAGAGACAGCGGGAGAATGTCCAGACGTGGGGCCTGCCTATACAAACACAACGATTGATATAGATAGATAATAGATAGATAGATAGGAGCTGTGTAAAAAGATCACATGCAGCAACTGCCTGAAATGGTGGGAATATGGCCTGAATAGGGTAGCAATACTATTTCGAGCCCACTTTAGTGTTGGTTCCAAGATGTTCCAAGTGACTCCAGTTTTGAGCACTGGGCTTTGCCAGCTCAGACAAGAGTGTGTTTGCTGCGAGGGCACCAGACCATGGCGCCCGGTTGAGCTACAACTGGCAGCACCACAAGTGGTAGACCATACCCTGCTTCGTGGCTACAACATGCTACAACCCCAACCCAACCTTGCTCATTTGCTGGGATGAGGAAATGCCGCCCATTGGTGGTCCAAAAAACAAGTGAAAGAACTGGAAGGTATATGGATAAAAAAGAACTCGAGGTCATTGGAGGCTTGGAGGGTTTCCCTCTTGGGAGATGGGTTTTTGTTTGACACGTAAATCCAGACGGAACCATCCGTCTCCGTTTTCAGTGGGGCTCGATGTCAGGCCCTTGCAACCACAGCACGAATGCCCCAATCGGCCCAACGTGTTGGCCACTGCTCGTCACCAAAATTTTGGGTGTTCGAAGCATCAACAAGTAGAAACAACCAAGTCTTAAGTCCTGTCCTGTTGTTTTACTCACCGGACCGGTCAGCAAAGCACGATGCCGCGGTGGCCAACCATCCCCGAACCACCCCAGGAACGGCCAGCTGTTCTCTTCCCGACTCGACACATGTCTCCCCACGTCTCCTCGGGTTGCAGCTATAAGTGGCTGCTTGAAGGGAGGTCATGTTGATTGATGATTTACTAGAACAAAGCCATGAATGGTTTTAAGTCTCCACAACCGGGGGGTTAGTAATGCACAGTCTACATCTCCCTAGGGCTCCAAGTACCTTCTAAGAAGGTGTTTGGGGTGGGTTTAGAGGGTCCAAATACCTTCTGAGGAGGTACTTGGAGCCCTAGGGTCTATATTTCTTTGACCCCGACCTGGTCCAGGAGGCAGTTCTCCGAGCACATCCAGCGATACTCCAAAGAGTTCTATGAGCCGCTTGGCCCGGGCCAAGCAGCGCACCATGCAGTGTAGGCATGAACGATGAAGAACCCGCCCAGCCGGGAGCCACCCAACACAAATCGATTCCTCAAAAAGAAGGGGCCGCTAGAGTGCAAAGTGAAAAGATGTGTTTTCACCCCTGGTGTAGATGCTAAAGATGAAGATGAGAGGAGTACTTTGATTTGACACCCAGTCATCCGAGCTTTGGGGCCTGGGTTTGCATTCGTGCTTGACTTCAATCAGCATGATCCTGTGGTACCCGGCGTATCGAGTTGCACAAGGTGTGTGCCATGTATTTGTTGGGTGGGTGTGTCCCACTACCTGTAACAGTAGGTAAACAAGAACATCACTTTATTTAAATATGGGGAGGAAGGCCTGCAACCAACCATCACCATCCACTGGGTAATAGGATGCACCGATGCACCCAATGTTTTGCCATGCATTTGCCATGTCCGATGTGTCCATCACAGCAGGAAGGTCAATCCTGTAGGAGCACTCCTGACTCTGGGTGCGGAGAGGGATATGAGTGCAAGATAGTGCAGCTATGTGCAAGTGATGTTTGTGAAAACCGGTGACAACATGAGCAAGGTTTCTGAACATCTCAACTCACTCTGGAATCCCTCAGATGGCGTTTTAGAGGACATCGTCAGCTTCCAGCACAGTGGTTTTCATGTCAAATCGCATTTCGCTACACAAGTCATTTTGTCCGCTGCTCATGTAGTGGCGAATGGTTCGGGTTGGTGTGAACATGGGGTCTTTGACGATATGGCATGAACCCGCTGACACAAAATAGGGGAGGGGCTCAACTTCTATATGATATCATTCGATCTTTCTGGTGAACCGCCTCCCTGGTGGGTCATTCTTAAAGTGTCACCTTTGGTAGGCCCCTTTTCACCGCCATACTGCCTTGGGAGCCACAAGAAACAACGTCTGTGGCTTTAGCCCCAACATCTTCCCCAAACGGAGTCCAAAAACCTGTTTTATACTTGGTCACTTTCAAGTTAAACACTTGACCTCAGCCGGGTCAGGTACAAAGAGAAGGCGTCAGATCAGCTGCAGAAGCTTTGCGGCATATCACCCGAGTACTTTTTTTGGTCGTCGAGCTTGGACTCAGTCCCATCCAGACACAGAAAAACTGGGGCGTGTTGGGGGTGTCCTATCACCTGCAACAGTCGGCAAACAATCATCACTATTTTAGAGAAAGGCCAGCAACCAAACCATCATCATCCACTGTTTTATACTAGGTAATATAGGATATACCGACGGAATCCATGACCTTTGCTTTTGAAGAGCTTCTTTTCCCATGTCATGGCCTCAGAAAGCTGTCATGGCGTCGCCCATGTCATGCCCAGCTGAGGATCTTAGCTATTCTCAACCGACGGCTCAAAGAGGCCCATTCTCCGCTGACACCATGGCAAGAGGGGATCAGAGGCATAGACATCACACATTAATTCACAAACTGCAAGCCATGCACAAGACTAGACCCCCAAAACTTGGATTCCGCTGTGGTTCCGAGTTTTCTCTCTCTCTCTCTCTCACCAGGTGCCAGTGATCGATTGGACCAACCCCCGTCCAGAAAGTTGGCTACTGTCAGAGGCCCTTCGCAACATGGAGGAGGAGCGTGAGCGCTTCATCTTGGCACGCACGAAGCCGACCCCCCGCATCGGCGAGGCCGGCCAAGGGTTGGCACCATTTATAGCGACGGTGATGTGGGCTGAATGGAGAACAGCTGAACTTGTCAAGTAGACCTTATAGCAGTCTGAGGGCTCGTTGTTTTCCAACATCCGAATGGATCTTAGAATGTTTTGGAAGGATTGTGAGATCAACCGGACCACTGGGCTTTTCAGCAAGGGCTTTTTGGACTCCTGCAGCTGAGGGACCTCACGGAGCCTTTTGCCACTTTCCGAGGCAATTTTTTGTTGAAGGCACAGGGGGGAGGTTCCAAGGTGCCATCGATTTGGCAGGAAGTGGAAGAAGAGATTGAAGAGGACTGCCGTGATCGCCACTGGCTCCCCAACTTGAGTCCAGGATTCCAGGCTCCCAGAAAACTTCCAAAAAGCTGCTCAGCCACGGCCTGAGACATTCTGATGCCGTTTTCGGGGATTTCCGACCAGAACGGCAGGATTGGGGGGGTCAGTCCTTGTGAAAGAATCCTCCGCACCGGGAACAACGGGGGGAGGCAATGGAATTCCACGGAACCCTGCTTCAGATAAGTTTTTGATAATAAGTTGTTGAAATGCAATCAGACAATCCGACTTCTTTGCCGACCCCAGCAGTTTGTTCGACCCCAGTAGTTCGTGGCAAGAAACGGTGATTCGCCAGATGCAAACGACATGGCCCCAAATTGGTGCAAAGACCCCAGCGACATGGCTCACCGAGTTGAGGTGGTTGTTGATATTGGAAAACATTGGAACAAGTTAATGTATTCCTTGACACCCTGGTTTGGGGTGTCCACCTCAATAGGCCCCCTGATAGAGGCCACTTGGTGTCTATTGACCATCCCTTAGGGGTCTTGGTATATAATTTTGTTGGTCACTCCAAGAGGTTTGGCGTGGGCGAACCACGAGTCCCTTGTGGATCCAGCTAGTCGCCAAAGATTTTGTTCCGGGTGTTGCTTCCAGGTCCAGGATGTGATCAAAGTCGTAACGGCACTAAAAGTATAGACAAAGCGAAGGGACTTGGCGAACGCTCTTCAAAGTCATCAAAGCAAGATACTTCAAGATACGAATGGAACCCTCCCACAAGCCCCATGCCCATACACATCTTGAGCCAGGGTACCAATCCACGCATCCTTGGATTCCTTGGCCTCCAGCCAACCACCAACCGTCACCAGGAGCCAGTGGAGCTTGACCCCAGCCCTCTCTACCGAACAGATGCACCTTGGGTGCACCCGGCGATGTTGTTCTCGGCGATGTGTCCTGTGAATGAACAGCACCTGACTCGTATGAAAGTTGGGGTCAGTACTTGTGAGCTTCATTATTGCTTCAGAAATGCCTCCTTTGTGTGGGTCAGCATATTTGTAGTACTCGCATTTGAAATTGATCATGGATGCGTTTGTGTAGGCTCTACGCAGTGGAGGGACCATGATTTTCCTGCCTTTGTTGGATCTACCCGCTTCCCTCAAATCCTGCACAATCCGGACAAGAGAAACTGCTGGCGTTGGGGCGAAATCCCTTCACTGTGTTTATAGCTAAACCCGGAAAGCAGCAGAATCCGAGAACCGGAAGGGGTGAGAGTTGCGGGGCGAGGCTTGCAAGATTCCCATTGGATTGCTCCTTGAAGACTGGACTTCCCGCGGCAACCATGTTAAGCTACACTTTGTTTGAAGACCGTTGCCTTGCTATTTGATGCTGCTGGCTCGCTGATCTCAAGTGCATTCTTACCTCCAAAGGGTTCTTGGTTCTTCCGCAGGGTAGGTTCGGGCTGGAGGTTGGCGCAAGTGTCAGCTAGTCCACACCGAAGATGAAGTCAACAGTTTTGGCAGTCTTTGTGGCAGTCAACAGTTTTGGCAGTCTTTGTGGCACTTGCACCTGCAAGGGTGGAAGATCTTTTGGACTGACTATAATTAGGATATACAGGTCACCACTTGACACTTTGATACACTTTGCATATCAGTCTACAAAAGCCACCAGAGGAGACCTGCTGAAGGGTGCTGGTAATTGGGGAAAAGCTATGGAATACAAGAAGCAACCAGAAAATGACACCGGCTGTGCTCACATTCCCTTCTCCAACCATGCTCGCTTTGGACTCGCCGATGGTCAACTCGCGGACGTCAATCCACACTGAGGACATGGGCATGGACACGGCCTGGCGAGACTACAAGATCAACAACATGGAGCCACTGGGACAGCTTTGGGGCGACGCCACCTTGACTGTGGGATGCCAACTAGGGTAGGACTACCTACACCAGATGACTGTGGGCAACCAGCAAGTTTCGTGAGATTGATAGGGTGAAGAGCATGTCTACGTATTTAAATGAGTTACAGTAAATGTGGAAATTGGATCTTACTGACTCGTGGCAAACACGTTGTGTATGTCGGCCCAGACGTTGGCCTCGCTGCCACACAGTAGCCTACAGGATGGGGCGGAGCAGAGACTAAATGCTTTGCACAGCATTTGGTTTATTTTAGGACCCGCCGCGAAAGCACGAGTCTTTGCCGGCCACAGAGCCCACTTTGTTATGTCAAACCCATCAATGCAGGACCCCACCCAGGTTGAAGGCTCCCTGGCATGGCAAGGCTTGACTCCATCCAACTTGCTGCAACCGGTCACAACATCACAATCTTAGCAAACGGCAAGTCTGCAACCTTGCTTTCCAATGCAACAGGCGCCGGGACAGGAGTCATGATCGCAGTCTTTTTGTGATTTGGTCGTCTGGTGCTTGCACCCCGTTCGCTGAATCAGGCTTGTCATTCCTACTCGGCCCATGCCCAAGTTCAAGGCTCGTGGGTTTTGAACTGGGGGACCTGGGCATCAGTATTGATGATGACACCTTTGTGCAGCCCCCAGTTTGGTGAGAGAATGGCCAGCCCTGGTCACATGAAAGAGCGTTATTCTTGGGGCATCGAAGCCCAAGTTGGACGCGGTCAGATTCAGTGCAGTGCAGGCCTGAAATACTTGGACTCTGGACCCTACAGAATCATACAGAATCTATAGACCCCTGCAGTCCAAATTTTGTGCTGCAGCACTTTGTTTTCACGTTTAGTGTGGTGTCCAATCAGGATCAGAGTGATGGTGATGCAAGGCACCCCCAAAGTAGGAAGGAGGCGGGAGTATTCATTCAATAGGCCTATGACTTACGTACTCGTTTTTAAAGACGAAATCCGCATTTGTGTTGTTCCGCAGATTCTCGGCTTCAGCTGGTGGGCTGATGGGCGACGTACACGACTGGGCCACCTGTCGGTGCCAGTTGTGTTTGAGCGCTCAGAGGCTCCTCTTGCTGATCTACAACGAGAAGCTTGGAGAAGAGTTCTCACGTACTTGTGTGAGAAGGTTGCGTGAAGTGTACCTCGAGCTCTTGGACGAGGCCGAGCGAAATTCACGAGAAGGGGTTGGACGTGCTACATACTCAACCCCGGCTTTCAAAGAAGAGGGTGCATCAAGGGGATCTGCCACTTCCCTTGAAGCAAAGGCCAAGAAAGCCCAGGCCTCCGTGAAAGGTGAGAGGAGTGAAGAAGAGGAGGACACTGCAGCAGCCGGTGAGCATCGTGAGGGAGAGGACAAAGCAACTCCCGTGAGCCCCCCCACAAGAAAAGGAGGAGAGGAGAAACAGAAGCGGTCCAGGTCCCGTCATCGACGCCGTCGGTCTTCAGAAAAGAAGTCAAGCAGAAAGGATAGGAGCAATAGCCGAGGGAGAAGCAAGCGCTCCCGTAGCTACGTCTGTTCCAAGGAGGATTCACGAAAGACTCGTTCGCCTGCCTCAGATACTGAACACCAGAGCTCTGCCAAGGCTTCTTCCGAGCCACCACGTGAGCCCCGTGTCAGGTCCCCGCCAAAGCCGTCGAGGTTCGATCCAGCCGCCCGCAGAGCCGCTCCGCCCCCATCCAGCTGGACTTCATCGAGGGTTGAGCCAGGAGAGGAGAGAAAGGATCGAGACAAAGTCCTGCCCCGCCGAAAGCTTCAGGAGCCGGATCATCCACCGCCTGGCCATCGAGACGAAGAGGACTGGTCATCGCAGCTCCCGAAGTCGAGGGAGGCAAGGAGAAGAGCAAGGTGAAGAAGAAGGTAAAGAAGGAAGAGAAAGAAAAGCTGAGGCCTTGTTTGGAGGTGCCGTTGAAGGACATCTTCAGCCGGACGGGGATAGACCCAGACCCGCAGACGAGGAGGACTCTCATGCGGAAGGCCCGGAAGATCCGAAAAGGAAAAAAGAAGAAGAAAGGAAGTCGATCGCGCAGCAGAGAGAAGGAGGAGCAGGACAGCGACTCGTCGACTACCACATCAAGCCTTGGAGAGGAGATAATCGGCTCGAGCGAGTTGTTCGAGGCCGAAAGGAGGGCCCTTCAGATCTGGAAGAGGATTCCCGGAGCTTTGTCATGCGGAGTGATCCAAGATATGAGGCAAAGCTTGATGACGGCAGAAGGGTTCCTCTCAGCCGGAAGCGAAGGGAGCCTTCCTCCCGTGGCCAGCCAGTATTATCGGCAACATCTTCAAGGACAAGTCGGGCCCGTGATGGGTCGGGAAATGCAGCATTGGTGCTTGGTGGTGGACCTCATGCTCCGCGGTCGGCCAGCGGCCGCGTTGGACGTGGCTGCACAACGTATCAAGTCGCTGGAGCAGATCGCAAACGGAGTGCAGGCGGACATCGCCAGAAGGCTGGAGCTTGTGGGGCCGGAAAAGGCCTCCTTGGTGACCCCGAACGAAGCTTCAGAGGCAGGAAAAGAGGTCTTTCAGGAGGAGAGGATTCAGTACCGAAACTCCCGAGGCAGAGCGTGGGAGTGGCAGGGCGACAGAGATTGGCAGCGAGGAGGCAAAGGCAAGGACAAAGACAAAGGGCGGAGAGAGAAGGGAAAGGCAGACGGCAAAGGCAAGGCAGACAGGGACAAAGGAAAAGGAAAGTGGAAGCGAGACGAGGAGAAGGACAAGTAGAGGGTGCTTCAAGGGTTGCTGAAAGAGAGGGCTATAAGAGAGAGGAGAGTGTTGTTGGTGAGGAGGGGAATCTTTGTGGCAGAAGCTCTTCCCCGTTGGCAAGCAGCAGAGGCCGACCTTTGCAGCAGTTGAGGATGCATGATAAGACCTCCCAGCTGGAGGGAGGCGTGAGAGAAGAGTTCAAGGCGTCAGATGATGCCGACCAGGAAGCTGCTCCGAGCTCCGCCCAAGAGGCAGAAGACAGAGGAGTTGAGGGGCCTCAGCCCAAAGAGGGAGGGGAGCAAGCCGACTTGATCCCTACCGTTGCAGGACGTGAGTCAGAGGCCATTAGCAGCAGAGTTTCACCCAGCACCATGATCCAGGCCATGAATGCGGCTCGGGTTCTTCTTGAGAAGGTTGATGAAGAGCGCATGCAGAGCACGGCAGTGGATGTTTCAAAATTATCCCATGATGGTATTTTTCCCCTTCCATTGCCCCCTTGCCGCAGTGAAAGGTCTGGAAAGGCGTGTGAGCAGATGGTATATGGCCTCAATCATCTGGCCATAGGACACGGGCATGGACCTGTGCCGTCCCGAAGCCCCGTGGGACTGACGGAAAACCTTAGCATGCTGTGCGAGCGTTTCGACGTTTGGGAGCGTTCCATGGACCCGGTGGACTTCGATTCGTTCTTCAGGAAGAGGGGGGTGACCTATGCAGGGGAAGAGATCCGGCTTGCTCAAACTCTAAGTTGGGAGGCGGTGTGCAACTCACTCCCCGAACAGGTTGGTCAGCTTAAGTTGGTTGATTTCTGCACAGAGGGTACACTCCATTACGTTGAGCATTTGGAAGAGTTTCTGATTCCGACAGACACCATGGTTCGTGCCAAACCCCCAAAAGTGATGGTAGGAGACGATTGGTCAGCTCTCAGCAGAGGCCTTGTGGAACGTGGCATCTGCGAAGTATGGCCCATGGAGAAGCTCTACCACGTCGGTCAGGAGCCCTTGCTGAACGGGTTGTTCGCGGTCGGAAAGGGAGAGTTCGTAGGCCCATTTGAAACTCAGAGACTCATCATGAATCTGAATCCCGTTCAACATCCTGGTCCGACCGCCTTTAGGAGTGCATGGCCGGTTGGTGACTACATTGGAGGCTCCCCTGTTGCGAAAGCTGTTAGGGTTGGTGTCCATCAAGGGGGAGGATTTGATGGTGCAGAGCGCCACTGAGCCCCAGGTGAAGTTTCATAGGTTGAGAACTAGCGTGCCGGCTAAATTGTGGAGGTGGCGTGAGGTCGCAGGTTGGTCTTGGAAGCATTCAGGGGAGCATATAACCATCCTTGAGATGCGTGCTGTCTTGACTACTCTGCGTTGGATGGTGCAACGGCGTCGGTTGAGTGGTTGTCGAATCTTGCACTTGATCGACAGCCTGGTATGCTTGCATGCATTGTCACGTGGTCGTTCTTCCAGTCAGAAGCTTCGCTCAGTGTTGGTGAAAGTCAACTCGCTACTCCTCGCTGCGGACCTGCACCCCTGTTGGGGATACGTGCATACAGCATACAAGTCAAAACCCCGCCGACCGGCCTAGCCGGCGGCCGCTGAGGCGCAAATGGGGAAAGTAAAGATGCACTTAGAGGGACGCAGCAAAGAGGAGAGAGCGAAGCAAAGACAAACCTTGGGAACGTTGAAGCAGTTAGCCTTACAGCCACAGACACGCAAGAGATACCAAGCCGCACGCGCGAAGTTCTATGCCTACCTCCATGAGAACCACCTTGAGCTCCCCCGCACTCTTTCAAAGTTCGATGACCTGTTGTCGGATTATGTAGAGCATCTATGGGCTTCCGGCGAAGGGCGTGCCCTTGCGAGTGATAGTGTTGCAGCTATGCAGGACGTTGAACCTCAGCTAAAGGGCAAACTTCAAGGAACCTGGCGTCTTCTGAAGACATGGCACACCAATGAGGTGCCGAACCGGGCGCCTCCGCTACCTGAGGCGGTCCTGGAAGCCATGTTAGGATGGTGCCTTTTCCATGAGTACTACGCTTTTGGCCTGTCTTTGCTCTTGGGGTTTTACGGTCTACTACGTACTGGGGAACTCCTTTCGGTCTGCGGTCTGCAACCACCACATCTTCATGACTGCCCCCAATAAGCCCGCTGTGGTGTCGTTAGGTTTGACGAAAGGTGGCAAGCGAACTGGTGCCGCAGAGAGCATTACAGTGACCGTCACACCTGTTCTCGCCTGGCTTTGGGCCTGGAAGAAGACGTCGACCGCACACAGTCCGCTTACCCCTCCTCCACACCAGTGGCGTGCCAAGTTCAGTGAGTGTCTCTCTGCATTGTCATTGACTGACATGGGGTTTCGGCCCTACTCGTTACGACGAAGGGGGCGCCACATTTTGGTTTGGAAAACACGGATCACTGGATAAAATCCTGATCCAGGGGCGTTGGGCGGCCGCCCGCACGGCAAGAATTTATTTGAACGAGGGGACTTTCCGTACTAGCCCAGTTGAGCTTACCAAAGAAAGCTCTTTTACCATATACACGCCTGTTTCACTCCTTGAAACCTCATGAGTTGCCTCGAATGCTTGAGCGTACTATTGCAGGTAAGGGAGACGTGGAAGGGGGCCAGGGGTTGAATTTTTTCGAAGCGGAGACTGTGTGTTCTGTGTCATGAGAAAGACGATGTTGTACCTGTGCCCACGCTTTCCGGTGTTTGTGGCAGGTTTGGGGGGTACGAGGGGTGTTGCTCTCTTCGTGGTCTGGCCGAAGAGGGTGGCACTGTGCCTCCGTGAATGGAACCAAGGTCCAAGGTGATGGAGAACGTCTTTCTCAATCGTCCGATTTTTCATTCAATTTTGACACAACCCTGCATGCGCGGAAAAAACCTTGCGAGTTGAGTCTTTGACTTACGTACTCGTTTTTAAAGACGAAATCCGCATTTGTGTTGTTCCGCAGATTCTCGGCTTCAGCTCCCTCCCCCCGGCCCTGAAGCTGGAAGGGGGCCAGGGGTTGAATTTTTTTGAAGCGGAGACTGTGTGTTCTGTGTCATGAGAAAGACGATGTTGTACCTGTGCCCACGCTTTCCGGTGTTTGCGGCAGGTTTGGGGGGTACGAGGGGTGTTGCTCTCTTCGTGGTCTGGCCGAAGAGGGTGGCACTGTGCCTCCGTGAATGGAACCAAGGTCCAAGGTGATGGAGAACGTCTTTCTCAATCGTCCGATTTTTCATTCAATTTTGACACAACCCTGCATGCGCGGAAAAAACCTTGCGAGTTGAGTCTTTATATATATACATATGTATATTTATATTTATATTTAAATATATGTATCGCACATCAACAACGGCTGCTTATGGCTTGGAGGGGCATTCTGAGAGGTCCGGAACACCTTGCCTTGCTTGACGCTACAAAGCTGCCTCAAGATGGAAGAAATCAATTGCATCCTTCATGCTGCTTCCATTCAAACCTCAGCATTGTTTGAGATCAGTACATGCTACGTGTCCATGCCCCAAAATTAGCTAGCAGCTTATCAGTGCACTCAATAAAACGATGCGGTACAACATAGGGTTGGCATGCCTGTTTTGCAGTTGGCTCTTTCTTTTCTCAACTTCGACCAATGTGGGGATGGGTTAAAACCACCTCGCCTCAACACCGACCTCCCAAGTAGGTCAACCACCTAGGTGGATTGACCCACATCCATGTTTTTATTGGCTTTTCACATCTTTTCACTGCCAGGTCGAGCGCGTGCGCCGGACATTGCCCAGCTCGGGCTCCGCACAGAGCGCGCGGAGCTCGCAGCCAGTGCCCTCGCAGCTGCTGGAGCTGCCGCAGGTGAGTCCAGCAGTCGGTGTGGAGGCCCAGGGTTAAGGTGCCAAGAGCCTCCAGGTTCAGATGCTGATCCAAATGTAGCATCAACTGCCTCACCTCATTCGCAAGCCTCCCACCAATGAGACCAACATCATGAGGATGTAGGATGCAGTGAAGGAGGTCAACTTTGGGATATTTTGGGATGATTTGGCCTCCAACGCTATGAGTCTATGAGGGTTCTTTCATGTTCTTCGCAAGCTTGGTTTTTGGCGTTTGGTTTCTGGACTTAACGGTTTTTCTCCACGTAAAGTTTGCTTCAGGGAAGCCAATCAGAAGTACACTACACTGCGGATGCTACACGAATATTGCCAGAGGGTTATATACGACTATTCCTTACAAGCTGGAATCGTTCCCCGAGCATTTGCAACCGGCCCCAGTCACCAACTCCACATGAAGATGCTTCCTCCATGTGAAGTGGTCCTAGCGCGCTGCCTGCCATCCCAGGAACGGTGCTAGCGCCCTCGCGAGATTGAGGAGGCACTGCTGGGTGCGGTTGTAAGGAGCTCCGAATCACATGTTTGCCGCCCAGTGGGAACATGTTAAGGCCCACACTCTGACATTGGGTTTTCAGTTAACTCAGTTCGCAGGTCGAAGAAAGGTGATGGAACAGAAAGGTGAAGCGTCCAGGCACTTGAAGGTGTTTGAACAAAGTGGTTTCTTCGTGACTGCAGAAATCAGCGGTGGCGAAACGGGCGCCGCGGCGCAGCTGCAGAAACCAAGGTTTGGGGGAAGTATCGTGGAAAAAAACATGAATCACCGAGAAAATTGGAGTGACAGCTTGTGCAGCAGTTGGTCGCAGGTACGTCACTGGACGTCTCCAGTGATATCAGTACCGCCACAGAAGCCTCTTCGTTGGACTGTCACTTCTGTGGGGTAGATAGTCCCCCTGCGTGTAAAAACTCTTGGAAACAGAGTGTGACACGCACACACACGCACACACACACACACTCAGCCGCTTTGCGGCGCTTTGGCGCAAAAACCTAAATAGGCACCTAAAAAGCCTTAGAAAAGAATGAAAGAAAAAACAGAAAGAGCAGCGCTAAAAGGGCAGGAGAAAAAGATAGGTGTAGCAAAAAGTGAATACTTAGCCCTTGACTGGGGCAGGGAAACGAGCCTCAAGAACCACCTAAAAAGCCTGAAAGAAAGCCCAAGAAACGACAAAAAACGTAAGAAAGGAAGCGGGGGGGCAGGGAGGGGGTGTATGTCCATGTGTGTGTCTGAATACTTGGCACTCTAGAGTTACCGATTACTTAGCGGAACCAATTAGGTGCAATAGTTAGGGAGTGGGACTTTAGTCTTAAACCGCCCGGGTAGAGTAGACTAGAACAGGGACAACAGAGGGAAAGGCACCGACACACAAGTGTGTCGAGTACCATTTCCCTCTGTTACCCTAATTAGGTGGGGAGTAGAAAACTCGGCGGGGAGGGGGGGGTTGTAGTGTTTTGGGGGGTAATTCACCGTATGCCCGGCGGCTTTGAAATTCTGTATACCTGGTTACCTGGCGGTCGTAAATCCGCGGTGCCCGGCGGCTTAGGTTTTTAAGAATACAGTGGTGAAACGAAAGTCCGTTAAGATAATCCAACGAGTGCAGAACGCGGTGAAATCAGTTAGTGGTACTCCAGCATGAGACAGCGCCCCAGTGACGGGGATCACACCCTGCACCCAAGTGGGACGGCAGAGCGGCACACACTCTGACATTGGGTTTTCAGTTAACTCAGTTCCCAGGTCGAAGAAAGGTGATGGAACAGAAAGGTGAAGCGTCCAGGCACTTGAAGGTGTTTGAACAAAGTGGTTTCTTCGTGACTGCAGAAATCAGCGGTGGCGAAACGGGCGCCGCGGCGCAGCTGCAGAAACCAAGGTTTGGGGGAAGTATCGTGGAAAAAACATGAATCACCGAGAAAATTGGAGTGACAGCAACAGTTGGTCGCAGGTACGTCACTGGACGTCTCCAGTGATATCAGTACCGCCACAGAAGCCTCTTCGTTGGACTGTCACTTCTGTGGGGTAGACAGTCCCCCTGCGTGTAAAAACTCTTGGAAACAGAGTGTGACACACACACACACACACGCACAAGCAAACACCATCGACCAGCACCTGGGTTGCTCATTGAAGAAACGAGTTGAACACATTCTTCCGATAGATATAGATGTGGTTCTACTGCCTTGTGTCCTTCAATCTCCATTGTGCAAAGGCCAGTGTAGACCAGCCAAGGCCGGTCCACACCCAAATATGTGTAGGGATGAGGCATTAGATCATTAGGCAGGTCATCCTTTTCGTTTCAGCATCATCCATGTCTCTTAAAACCAAAGCACCTCAGAGAAGTGCGTCTCGCAACTCCACCATTTGTTGCATACCTCGGCGGCCCAACGCTCAGGCGGCAGTCCATGCTCGGCATCGCGACCGGCCATGCCGCTTCCCTCAACGGTTTTAGAGCAGAACCCTAGGCCCTAGGCCATTGGAGTGGATAAAACCGAAGGTTGCTGGCCAGCGTCCAGATGCATGGAGCAAATCGATGCTCTCTGACTCAACATGGAAGTGGATAAAACATGAGAAAACCGTGTTTGCAAAAGATCGCTACGGAAAGTAGTGTTCCAAGAGAACATGTTCCACTTCCATGGTAGCAGTATAGCTGGAATAGATCTGGAGTTTCTCGATGCCACGACTGCCGTGGGCGCGAAACTGTGCGCTGGCAAACGCAAGCGTTGCGGTGGCAGAAACCAACGGGATTGTCGCCCATGCGCTCCCCAGCATGTCCAGTTGCTGGCAAAATAGGTAGCCATGCCATTCCTTAGCATAGTGTTTGAGTACCTGCAGGTAATGAGACGTGGAATTGGAGCTAGACTGCGTGCCCGGGTTTAGTTTCGGTCTCCTAGATGTTAAAAATAGGACACTTTGGAACAGCCATCCGCCCCAGTATGCGCCCCACAATGTATATTATATTTGAATATACAATGTGATTAAAAACACATTTGCAATCCGAAATGCAGAGAAGTGGCTCTCCCCGTTCTCACAGAGCGAGCCCTGTGCATGTAGGGAATCACATGGATTTACTTCGGCAACATAAGCTTTGGACAGAGGCTGTTCACAGGTGTTCAGTTTCCTGACCGCATCGAGTTGAATTGTGCTAGAAGTTTTTTTTTCTTTCTGATGGGGGAGCTGCATCGTTTCAGGTAAGTTCCTCAGATCACCGTGCAAGCTACTGTTGATGTCATGTATGCATCACCACTGGCACATGTGCCCAAAGGCAAGGTTTCTTGGTGCGTCAGCTTGCTCTAATTATATAGTTCCAATTCAAAAGACAGCATAAAACCACGTCAGGAGAAAAACAAAAACACACATGGGCCAACCACTTGAGCTCGAGGTCGCCACTCATGTGCCCACACGTCGCTCACCACACAGCATCTTTCGGCTCCGTCGCACCGGGTGCGCGGCCGGTGGACGGCGCGCGGGGGAGCTCAGCTGAGGCGTTCGATCGACCATCTCCGACCGTTTCAGGGCCGAAGCAGAGGATTTCGGAAGGGTCCGGCCCCAGGATGTCATTGGACAACGATTTGGTGAAGATCCCAGGTTCCAAATCAAGGGATTGAAGTTTGCAGCAATGTCCTCAAGGGAGAAATCTGGGCAAGGGAATCGAGAAGCACCATTTCATGTATCGATGTTAACTTAAAGTATGCCAAAGTCATCAAAAGTCTGCTGGAATTTCTTTCGACCTATTCTCACATATAATTCCAATTTTATATTCCAATTGAAGACTATGGCTGGACTCAAGTCGACTTGGTGTTTGCTGCTCTCCCCTTCGGCGCGGTGCTGCCCAGGCTCGGGCGCCGCACGGCCAGGGAGCCCGAGACTGGAGGGTTTTAGGGTGACTCTGCACGTAGCACTTCCAACGGGCGCCCAAAGGAGACCTATAAGTAGGGTAGGGTTGTCCATTGGTGACCCCTTGGAAGCAGCTGGTAGACTGTTGGATGAATAGAAGATAAAGTAATACGACTTCCTAGCAGAAATAGTTGAAAACATCTTGAATCTGGGTGGTTGTATGCCATACATTTTGTATACATATACATTATAATACTCCATTCCGCATCGTTGAAGAGTCTTGGACGCTCAAGGGACGTTTTGTATTAGTCCCTGCTGAACTACCGGGCAGTTCCTTCTGAACTATAGACTATAGACCATTCTTGCTAGATCTTGCTACAAGTAGTTATTTGCTGGTAGAAATTGGCCTGCAAAGCTTCTCAATTGTGCAAAAGCAAGATGTTTCCTTTAGCATTGACCAGGTCCATGCAGAATGGATGGTAGCATCGGCCTGGCACCGCAGAGGGAACTGCTTGGACCGCGACTTCGCACAAGACGTGACCCGAAGCGAGCCCTGAGTTGGGAGCGAAGTGGGCCCCCGTGTAGTGGTCTCATTTACAACTCTTGGCTCACAAAGACTGGTTTGGGGTTTCATCGGCCTCACCGCTGGGACCCGTTCCGTCATTCCTGACTTCGTTGTACCTGTGAAGCCTGAGGCTTCACAGCATGCTTTCAGGAACAATGCTTGCTTGTCCTCGCTGTGAAGATTTGGGGCACTTAGCTTCACCTCAGTCCATTTGGTGACCGCATTCAACTGTGTTGACCATCCAACCCAGACCAGCCATGTGTGGAACAATCTGGAAGATGTTACTTATATAATTGCACGCAAAGTTACTTACATTAATTAGGGGTCATAAATAGTGTAATTTGAATGTGTGCTCTCCTGGGCTGCTTTGGTGCTACGATTTGCCATGGTCTAGTTGCACTTCCAACATCCCGGTTGACATCCAAAATCCGAGGACGACTAAGTTGTGCTTCCGTAAGGTAGGGAGGATCCCCTTGGAACAGTGATCCAACACCAGTTCTAGCTATTTGGGGGTGTCCATAAAGCTTCCCCACTGTCTCAAAGATATGTTTCGTGTTTGGCCGGTGTCGGTCAAGAGTTAATTGAATACAGTACCTTTGAAGCATGCTTTTTAAAGCTCAGATTTCTTAAATGGGTCATTCAAAGAGTTACCGGATAATCTTCCAAAAGCAAGGCCTCAAAACTGGGTCCTCTTGTGGCCTTCTTGGTTGACCTTGCAAAGACCTTCAGCACAGCCGCAGCCACAGCGCTCAATACCCCACGAGCGTGATTGACCACGTGTGATCCTTCGACCTATTTTTCAGGCGAGGTGCTCACGCTGGGATAGGTCCCAAACGTGGCAACCGGGTCCAGTCTCCCGTGACCGTCTTTGGTCGGGTGACCGTTTTGCCCCAACGTCCGTAACCACGCGGTTGTACTCAAAGGCTCGAAGGTGGGCGGCTATGATCGCATCAAGGCTACACACAGTTTGTTTGGACGCGCAGATTCTGGCACAGATTTGGAAAATGCTTCGGTAGAGGATTCGGTTGCATCCGAATGAAGCAATTGCCTTCTTCTTCTTTGTCACATTAATGCTCATCCGATTCTTGTTTCCTCAGCTGGTAAACTGCTCACCTGTCCAAACGTTCGCTACAATTATTTGCCATGCCGTGGTGTGAGCATGCCATTGAAACTGCAATGAGATCGTAGGAAGGACGTTCTTCATCTCACGCTTTGCTGAGGCGTACATCCACCTCAGTCAAATTTATGCCATTGAGAACTCCAAATGTCCTGGCTCAATTCCCAACTGTGTTCTTGCAGGAGGGGTGTTCAAAGACAAGCTTTTGGCTGAGGAGGAGGGTTTGATTTTTTCTCACCTGCAGCTTATCCACAGTCTACCCAGCCTATTTTGGCCTTTCTATGAGGAGTCAGTGCAGGTACCACATCACCTAAAACTGCCCTTTGTAAGTCCGCCTCAACCAGGCCGGCGGCATGCGCGGACTCATGGTGGCTTCGCGGGCGGCCAAAGGATCCAAGAGGCAATCGGTGTGGCAACAAAAAGCAGTAGAGGCGATCCAAGAGGCGATCCAGTAGTTTTCAGAGTAGATGGCACAAGGGCCCCCAAGTTAGGTGGTTGATCTGGAACCATTTACTGTAAAGGACATCTTGGGGGTTGTGCCAGTACTCTGACACTGGTCCTGGGCCTTGAGAGCCTTGAAGGTAGACATGCCCTAGTCCTGGTTCGATTCAATGGCTGGTTGCACGGGAGAGAGGAATGCCCCACCTAGCAACCCTACCCTTTAAGGCCCCTGGTCTTTGGAGACCTTTGATTTTATGGGAAGTTTCTGGAGCTCAGATGAGCAGCCGCGGGACAGCGCATCAAGACAAGTGGAGTCATGGCTGGAGCCAGTCAGTGTTGCTTTCTCAGGCGCTGGCGACCTTGAAAAGTGCGCAGCTGTCGAATACTTTTGTGGAATTCGGGTGCATGACAATCCTTTAAACCCAATCAAACCGAATTGAATTGTTCTTTAACATGTCGTCTCCCATGATCGGTACAGTCCGCACCGGGTGATCCCGATGCGCGGGAGGCGTTTGATGGGCCTTGAGGTGCCACCTCCAAAGATGGAAAGGCCGAGCCTGCCCAGCTCGTGGCTGCGAGAGTCAGCAAATTGGGGAGTTTTCAAGAGTTCAGTATATACGGAGAATGTTCCTTGAAAGGGCACCAACGGGGCATACCCCGGTGCTATAATTTTAAGCCATAAATAACTCAAACCCACCTCCACCCGCCCTGTCGGACTGCGCAGGACGACGCTTGGTAGCTTCAGCAGCCTTTGGGAACTCACGAGGTGCGCAGGCGACTGGAATGATGAGTGGGACCACCCATGCAAGGCCCGAAGCATTCGAACAAACTATATATATATACACACATAATTCCTGCTGTTGGGTCTTTTTCTTTTGGCGAGTTTTCGTTGACCAATCAAGGAATCAGGGATTGATCCAGATCGGAAGTCTTTGGGTTTCTTCATGTGCTCGAATTGAATCACGGAAGCCCCCCATAGTCAGGAACGCGGTTCGTTGGCCCTCGCGAGGTTTCTGGCCACCTGGGATGGCCCTGATGTTCCCATCTACGTCCCCGTGACACAGGCGCCACCAGTCCAATTCGTGAGAAACGTCATCCGCTGGACATGGACTCGGCACGTGAGGCTCAAGGCAAGAAGATCAGGAAGACATCGAGAATTCTCAAGAATCTATGCCTTCCGTCTTTGCATTTGGAGTTCCACTATTGGTGCAAGACGTGCTTGACACTGCATGTATCGGCCTTTTTTCGTATGTGTCTATATGTTCGTTGGACGACCATGTCGGCGTTTTTTTTTGCCCGGCAAGGTGAGCAATGTGGTTATTGGGCCCAAACGAGGTAAAACAAAAATAAGAAGTCCAACATCTCCGCATGCCCTGGAAGTCTAATACCACGGCCCCCGATACTGAAACCGCAGTTGAAACCGCCTCAAAACACCGCGCCTGATCTCGCTCCAAAAGGCCTTCGCTCATCGGATGGCCGCCCTTCGCTCATCAGATCGCCGCCCTTCGCTCATCGGATGGCGTTCGAACTGCGTGGGGTGACCAACACCGACGGCGGTCGAAGCGCTTTTCTCGCTCACCGGTTTCTGGGAAGGCAGGCCGCTTCAC